GCGCCCCTCTCCCCCCCCCCCCCCACCCACCCCATCCTGTCTCCTTCTGTAGTGTATCGACTATGCAATAAGCTTTTGCTTACTGGATAGTTGTCTAGTAGCTTACATCTCTAGTGTAAATGTGTAACCACTAAAAATTCACACAATTACATGTTTACACACAAAAAAAGTTAGTTGACATCCCTAGTCCCAAGGATGCTGGACTAGAGAGTTTCAACCTGTATTTGAATTTGTACTGCATGGTATTTTAATTAAAAACCACAATGATCTACAATTACCATAGCACACATTAAATGAATGAAAAATCTGTGTAACTGATAGGTGTCAAAAAATAATTCTCAACAGCATATCACCACCAAGTGGGTGTTTTCTCAGAGACAGCCCACGAGTATCAGTTCTTGGCTCTACAATACTTAACAATTTATCAATGACCTGGAAGAAAATACATTATCACAGATAAAGTTTGAAGAGGACACAAAAGGTCAGGGAGTGGTGAATAAAGAGGAGGGTAGGTCACCGATTCAGAGTGATACAGACCGCTTAGTAAACAGGGAACAAGCAAACGATACCCATTTTTAATACAACTAAAAATAAGTACATACATCTAGGAACAATGAATGTAGACCATACTTACCCAGGATAGAGTGCCCTATTCTGTAATAACTCGGATTTGGGGATCATGGTGGACAATATGCTTAACATAAGCTCCCAATATGCTATAGTCAAAAATAGTAATGTCACGCAGGAATCTGAGACACACACTCCATAATTTATACAACCATTTAATGTCACACCACATCAATACTTATTACCAGATCAAAGAAAGAATACATTCACAGAACTGGACCAGTATATTACTACAATAAAGTACTGCAAAAAACAGGATTGCTGATAGACTATGCTACCCATAACTACTACACTAGCAGAATCGTATCTTAGAGTATAGACAGTTACATACAAAAAGGAATCACTTGAATATATAGGGCTGAATCCTACAAAGATTTATAGTGTACTTCGCTTTGAGCACAGTAATTATTCCTACTGACTAAGGAGCAAATCCTGCAAGCTGACTTGCATGATGTCACACAGAACTATAAACTATTTGACCTGAGGAAGTGGGTCTGGCCCACGAAAGCTCATCATCTAATAAACCATCTTGTTAGTCTTTAAAGTGCTACATTGTCCTGCATTTTGCTTCAACTACCCCAGACTAACACGGCTACATTTCTAGAACTATAAACTAGGTAGAGAACACACAATGAAATCAGAGAAGTGAGTGTAATCTGTGTAACTCAGGCACTTCTAATTAGATAATCATCTCTTAGCAGTTTCTGAAGTGCTTTACTGATTTGTATATTATTAAAGCAATTAGTGAAATAAAATTAATTATTCATATGTATCTCACTGGGACTGCCTGATATTTAATTAGGCTAAAACAAAAGTTACCCAGCTTTTGCCATTTCTAGAGTTCAAAATTAATAAAGCTTACAAACATTTAAAAAATGAGAATTGAGAATGAGTGCCCCTGAACAGTAATTAGATATGCCCCCCCAAAATAACTGTCCCATTTCAGTCATTTGTAGTGCGGTAGCATCAAAACTCCAGTTAGGATTTGGCACTGCACAAACATATAGAAAAACAAAACCAGTAGTACTCTGTATTTTCACTGAAACAAAGGACATTCACTGCCTCTCAGTAAAATTACCTACACCCTTCACCATGGAATCCCATCATCTATCGCAGTTTGAATTTTATAACTACAAATACATCCCCAATATCCTGCACCATGTATATAATTCAGAGAAATTCCATTTTATCTCATTTTTTTCTTTGAGCTTTTGGGTTAGCTCAGTATAAAACATTTTAACTCACTCGTTTCAAATTACTTTCTCTATTCACTATACCCATGAACAATATAGTAAGACTGAATGAGACTCATGAAATATACTATTGTTAGAGTGTTAATAATGGGCCGAAATCATGACAGGCAGTGAATTCAGTAGGACTACATACAAACATATATATCTCTTGCAGGTTCTGCCTCCCAAAATCCTCATATTTACTATGTATGGTTTATTGTCCACTAGGAACATTAAAATTAAGGGTTATCAGTAGCATAAGTTTATTTTCAGGATTTTAATATCAGATCATCAGTATTACAGCTAAATAATCAAATTAAATCCAAAGGATGAAAATGTTGTGATTTGTTATTACTACAAAATAAAAATATATGAATTAGTAAGTGAATGATCAAACTTCATACACGCAGCAGAAAGTGGGGTTTCTGAATCTAGTCATTAAATGGTTTTAAAGAAGGCCACTAGAATTTTGCAGCATGCCCAACACAAATAATTTACGTTACAAGCTATAATTACAGGGTATTCAGATGTGCATACAAATATGACTGATGAGAGAACTAACCAGTTTGACATTATCTGTACATACGCAAAAGGCTTCTCTTTTAAGGTGGAAATTTCATTCTAGTCTCGATGATTTGCATTGTGTAGCATAGATACTTTGAGTATGTATTTTTAAACACTAATTTTAAACAACAATATGGGAATTTTGTTTATTGGAATTCACATCACCTATATGCAAATCAATACAAACTGTCAGACTACCAGAAAAGATTTTTTGGCCTGACAAAACAAATGTAAAAGCGGAGAGGAGTTCTGTGGCACCTTATAGACTAACTGAAGTGTAGGAGCATAAGCTTTCGTGGGCAAAGACCCATCTGACGAAGTGGGTCTTTGCCCACGAAAGCTTATGTTCCTACACTTCAGTTAGTCTATAAGGTGCCACAGGACTCCTGCCACTTAAAACAAATGTATAGCATATAAAGCAGTGTTATGAAGACATACTAAGATGCAGGACACTGTCAATAAAGAATCTCCATAGCACTATGACAATCTACTACTCAATGTTCCCCAATGGTATCCAACTAATCCACATTACTACAGTTTCCCCATGGGGTTGGGGTTTTTTTGTTTGTTTTTTACTAGCAGGTACTTGACTTTTTAATGGTTACTAATGTATAGATTTTTTAAATTGAGGGTGAAGGAAACAGGAATTCAAGAGTTACTATATAAAGGATAATAGAGGACAGCATAAAAGGAAATTACAAGAGAGTGCATATGAAGTACTCAATTAAAAAAAATAATAATAAGCAATCCTGAACATCTTAGATACAGTTAGTTGCATTTAGGTACAATCTTATAAACCAGATGTGCTGTAATAGTTGAACAAAATGCAGTATTTGGAAGAATTTTAGCCTTAAACTATTAGTTTCCACTTTTGTGGGTTTAACTCAAGCTCTTGATGTTTTTCTAATGTAATCTATAATTTTCTTTTATAGCCATGAAAAAAATTACAGTATAGCCTGCGTAGGGTAAGAAATTCCTGCTCTCTATAGCTCTTCATACTTTTATTCATTTAAACTAGACACATGGGAAGTCAGGAAAGAAACTCTGTCATCATACAGAAATCATGTCTAAGAAAAATGACAAGTTGCTGCTGTACAAATATTATCTATATTTTAAAGGAAAAATTAACAGTATCACACATTACAGAACATGCAACAAATTAGCTTTATTTTTTTCTCTATCTGGCATTAAGCTTCACTGTTTTTTTGTAGTCAAGTGGTGAGTAGATAAAATTACTTGCTCAACAGTCAATCTTATGTCACAAATGTTTTTATTCCTCCAGGTATGCAAGCGAGTTTTCCTCATTGCAAAAGTGAGTTTTAGATTATTATATATTTCTAACTAAGCAGACAGGGAGATGCTGGGAGGAGGGAAGAGAAAAAAAAATCAAAATAAAAAAAATTGACAGGACAACATGAAAATAGAAAATGGAGAAAGTGCAAAGCGAAAGTCTCTTTCTATCACTTTATGGAACACACACAATTCTAGTACATAACACAGGAATGTTGAGAGTTTAGCATAATCAAAGCCCAATCAATAAATTGAAAATGAAGAGTACCTTGAAGCTAAACTAGAAAAATAATGAGTGAAATCAAGCGTGGTATAAGTTCAATGTCAAATACATCACAATAAAAGGGTTGTTTAGGGATTCAGCCAAAAGGGTGGAGTCACAGTCTTTTCTATCCATCCTCATAACTAACTTCATTATTCTCTTGTTTAACCTAAGAAAAGCATTTTCAAAGCAGTTTACAATCAGATGTCACTAGCTGCTAGAAAGAATTTTTTTTTCAGTGTAACCTGAGACATGAATTAAAACCAGTATAATTATACTGCTTGTACACGCCACTCTGGCAGTTTTTGGACTTAATTTGTGCTACTTGGAAAGAGAATTAAGCTAAACTAAAGAAAAGCACCCTTATTCTATAATAGAAGTGTCCTTACAGGGCTTATATATTGATATAAGGATACCAGCGTAACTGGTAAAACTTTCTCATGCTGATGAGGCCTGGAGAGTTTCAAGGATTCACAGTAGGGCAAAACAAAAACAAAAACAAACAAAAAACCTCAACAATAAACAACCATCCCCTCTCCCCCATACACATACACACACACTAAATTTTGCTTTTAAAGGGGAGAAAGGAGCCATTTGGTACTGCTTCACCCTATTTATAGGCACATGATTGGTTCAAAGGCTAAACCACATTGTGCAGTGTGCTGGATGAATAAAGAATAGCTATAATAAAAGGGAAAATACAATCACATAAACACAGAGCTCAGTGGACACGAAAGACACCTAAATATATGTGCATTAATCTCCCCCTCCCCCATGCACACACCCTCCTACTGCTCGCCTTATCCACCTGCTATAGTTTGAACTACGTGCATCATCTCTTTGGGGAGAGAGCTACCCACCTACTTGCTTAAGTGCCTGTGCGGTGCTAGCCCCCGCACTGGTCCCGCAGGTGCTCTAGGACAGGAGACCAGGCCCTGCGACCCCC